CCAAAGAAGATTGAACCTTCTGGGAATGTAAGAGATATTCACGTCGCGAGTATTCTTTACGCAGCTGATCTCTCCAAGTAGTGTATTCCTTTAGAAACACGGTTTTTATTTTTTCACTCACTTCCGAATTTTCACCTGTACTAGAAAAGTATTGAACAAATTGTTGATCCGGTATGTTGCGGATTTCCTTCAATGCGTTTTCATAATCTAAACTTAGGTCATTATTAGAAAATTTTTTTAAAATATATTGTTTAACCGCATTTCTTTTATCCTCTGTTAAATTGTTACAAATAAATTCATCTCCGTTTACATCGGATAATTTGTGCTTTTTGACGATGGAGTTGCTGGCCAAGTAGCGTTTCTTGAGGTTCTTCCAATTTTTTAAGTCGATATTTCCAACCTTCCGTTGCAATTCAGTAATCACATCAGGATAATCTTCATTAATTCTGTCAACATCTATACACAAAAAATTTAACAGAAGTTAACACAACGTTTGAATATCAACGTACTTAAATTCGGTCATCAATAAATCTACCTTCTTGAGTATGTTTATGTTCATCTTTTCCGTCGAATGAATTTTCGAATACTCTAGTGATACACGTTAGATTAGGAATTGGACATACTGTACATAAAGTATACTGTATATTATATTGTTGAACACATACCCGTATGTTTCATTTAGTTTATATATGAGCATTGAAAAAATGATATCTGCATCGACTTTAATAATATCATCGATATCTTCCTTTTCTTTCTCGTGATCTTTACGAGTCATCTCCATTTCATATTTATATGTTTTGATTAGATCGCTTTCTATAGACAAAAACTCAGCCAAATCTATCAACTCTGCTAAAGGAACGAACGAGTCTATTCTCAGATTATAATTTCTTATTTCATTAAGGGATACGCTAGAATGCCCACTCGGCTTATGTGTTTCCTTGGTTTCAACCACATAGCTGGTGATAAATGATTGGTTACAGCATGACTCTATTGACATGGCAGGAGGAAGGTTCGAGGGCAGAGATAACTCATCTTCTCTAGAGTCTCTATTGTCGAATTTAAGCTTTACAAAAATCAAATAAATAACTTTTATTATGCATCCATCTTATATCATCGTACACCATTTAAAGATGAATATTTGCTTACCTTGAATCCATCGTAAAAGTCAAAATCTTCTTCTTCTTGTCTTCTTTCTTCTACCATATATACACTACAGATATTATCGTTCTCGGTCTCCTCATCATCATTCCTAATATATCTGTCCAGGTGTTCAAAGTCAAAGGTCGCAAGTTCTTGTGCATCCATTAAGCAGAAATGAGCGTTCGTCAATTCTGTAAGATATCTAGAAAAGATAAAAAGAAAAGATTTTTTTTTTAATAATAAGGATGAGATGCATAAATTCCGTTATTAAATTCTTATATTACCTGTGAAGATTCACCAGATTTCTTTTTTTTTTGGAGGGATTATTGCTATAGCAACCTTTTTCAGGCCAATGAATAACAAAACCATATTCATTTTCAACTAGGAGATAAATTCCAGGTTTGAGA